ATCATTTTTTAATGACACTTAAAAAGTGTGATTAAAAATGACCATTTTTAATCACACTCCTAAAGACCACACTTTAATAAAACTTAAAAAGTGTGATTAAAAAACATACATCACACCAAAAAAGTGTGATCTTTATCTATATTTATAGCTAGCAAATTGAGGACTACATAGATAAACTAAGATGCAATAAGTACCATGTTTGCTAATGTGTGTTGGACATTCTCACAACAGTGTTTCTTTTTCTTAGACACTTTCCAAACACATTGTAGGAGAAGAAGAATAAGAGTGGTTTTCTAGAAAGTCTAGATTAACACAAATAATAAGTTCTAGATGTATATATATATATATATTAAAGTCTTTGAATGTCTATTTTTCTTCTTTTGAGATAAGTTATTTAAATGGATGGTTTGGCATGCCTACCTAAAATCTGTTCAGTGTTAAGGCTAGGCACTGGCTGTATTGATCTGACGAGAATTTGATAGGGCTTTATCAACTGATTGATATTTCTGAAGATGGTTTTTAGTTGTAATGGATTTTTTTTTATTATTTTTAATTTCAATTTTTGGATAACCTATCCCTTGCGGGTTGTGCTTGGGATTAATTATTCTCTTTGCTACTTGTTGAATTTTCTTGTGTGTTTGGGCTGTTGGACAGATGTTTTGTTTGTGCTATTTTGTTGCTACAGGATGTTTTGTGTTTGAGTTGTGTATGGGCTGCTGAATTTTGTTGCTACAGGATGCTATTTATTTTGGCTTCTACAAGGGTATTAATATCTTTTGTAGCTTTATACTATTTTTGCATAAGAGTATCCTTATTGTATGATTTTTAACCCTCAGGATAAAAGATGGAAATGCTGAAACACTCTATCCTAGATCATCCTTTGCCATCAATTGTACTGGTAAAGGTTTATTTACGTACATTTCTTTTGAGTGCACTATTTTTGTTCACTTCAAGGTGGTTTTGAAAATTTAAAGCTTCTTTCATTCTCTTTTCAGGTGATGTCTGCGAAGGAGATGTTGTTTTGTTTACACAGAAAGTATACAAGAAGTAACTCACTGGTTTCAGCTCTTGTTTTCCTTCTGTATATGAATCTCTTGATTTCCATCGTAGTTTGTAAATCATATTTGCTCGGTAAATGAAGGAGCTAATTCCGAACAAGTTTATATCCAAACAGGTTTGGAAAGAGAACTATTGCTGGGAGAGTTGTTAAGGAAAGCTATGGTGCTGCCAAACAACAACATACATTTACAGTAAGTTTGGGACATGTGTAGTGATGACTCGCTCAATTACTCAAGCCTCTCTTTTGCTAATGAAATCAATAATCTAGTGTTTTTTTCCTTTTCAATTTCCTTGAGTTAAACATTGTCATAGTTCATCTCTTATAAGTTTTTTTGCACAAAAATTCAGGATCTCCCTCTGTTTTGTCTTTATTATAAGTTATTATTCTGCCCCTATTTCTGTGGGTCACCTATTATTTCCTAACTAGTGACAAATGGTAGATGTCTCCAATTGAGGTTAAAGGATTAACACAAGTAGTGGAAGAAGGCAACTATTGATCATAAATCTAGAGACACTTTCTAAGTAGAGCAACCATATTTTTATGTGGATTCAATGTACCCCCAGTACTGTCACTACAAATCTACTACTGTTCTAGATGCCAGATTTTTACCATCTACCTTATCTTTTCTACTTTCACATAGGGATTAACCTGATGAAATGATGTCCTGACTGAACATATTCTATGTAACAACATGAGGTGACATTGGATGAAATTTCAACATTATGCTGTTTGAAAGATGGATACCCTTGTTATGGTTGTAATATTGTTATCTTCACTCTATTTATCCTTGTTTCTATGATCGGTAAAATACATCCTTTTCAGACTTTGATTATGATATATGTATTACTATTGTTCAGTGAACTGACTGAAATGTTAAAACTATTTGCAGACATACTTGGGGATCCAAATATTCAGGTTTTATTTCAAATGCACTTAGTACTCTGCTAACGAAAAGGTAAGGTCATTTATGCTAGTTCATTATTTCAACCTTTTGGGTGTAAATGCATTTTGTGTAGGCCTTGAACAATGAAGCCCAATTGCCATTTTGGTCACTTTTGTAATGTACTAGATTTATGTAAATGGCAGTAGCAGTGTCTATTGTGGGATTGAATTTATGTTTAGCTGGCAATACTATTTTATACCTGCAGAACTGCCTAAAGTAAGCATGTAGTTTAACCTTTTTTTTGGGTGGGCTGCATTCAAGTAATCTTCTACTCACTTTTGAACATAATAGGTTTTGATTCAGGTTGCGTCCTTAACTCATTGAACTGAAAATTAACACAAATAATAAGTTCTAGATGTATATATATATATTAAAGTCTTTGAATGTCTATTTTTCTTCTTTTGAGATAAGTTATTTAAATGGCTGGTTTGGCATGCCTACCTAAAATCTGTTCAGTGTTAAGGCTAGGCACTGGCTGTATTGATCTGACGAGAATTTGATAGGGCTCAAATTCAAAAGCAAACTATAATTTTGCTGGAATTAGAGCTTCAGTATTTCTATACTTTAAACTGTTGGACCAATTGATGTCATAACAAATCATCCAGAGGTATAGCTATTTGACCACATCATAGCTGCAGTGTGAATTTGTCAAGGCAGCATAGGAACTCAAAACATGTGAATTTGGATACTATTTTAACCATCCTGCCCCCACTGAAGGGCAAGGTTGCATGGTCTAAGATTGTTAAAACATAGCAAGATAATTGTTAATTCTTGACATTGGTATACTTCCAAAGTTGGTTTCACAAATGGGCCTAAGTTGCATTTGAGGTGCATGGTGCAGAATCTAAGATATGATATCGTTGATGAGATCCGTATGAGCTACTTTTTCTGCCTAAAAAAATATGATTTCAGCAAATAATGTCATGGTCCAACAGAAATTTGGGTTCATATAAGAGTTAAGATATACTAATTGAATGAATTGATAATTAAAAGTCTCCTACTTCAATTTTTGCGAATTGCTTTTATATGTTGTATGTGATGGATTTCATTGACATGCACAGAGAGAAGTGCTGGATAGTGAGGACCTGTTATTGTTTGTCACTTACATGGACAGACTTTAATTGTGGAGAATTTGCTATTTCAATAGAATATTTTGTCATGGTTGAAAATCATATAATTCTCGTATTTTTGACAGTTACAATCTTTAAAGTATCTATCTGTGGCTGATCATATTCCTATAAAGATGTGCTTCATCTCAAGTTATTAAATTAGGGAGCTGAAGGTTTAGATAAGGGGGTTGTATGCAAGTTGTTTCTTTTTAATTTAGTGTGCTGGGCTCTTATTATTTCCTCTACTTGGATTGCTCCCATACCAATTTGTAATTATTCAGGTTATGTGGTTTATGCTTTTAAGACCAATAAGCTTTATTAATCCTTATTTGTTTTATAGTTTTTAGTGAGTTATATGTTGATATCATATGATTTTGATGGTCCATATAATATTCCATTTTATCATTTATGTGATCCTTTCTGCATTGTTGCATATTGTCTTCTTTTGTGGTGCTGTTTTACTGATATTTGTGGAGAATCAAAATAATTATGTCATTTTTGGTGGCTGTGGGGAAAGGATTGAGGGCAGTTTAACAACTAGATAAATTACATTATTTTTAGTGTGATCTAAATGTAAGTTTATAAATTAATTAGTAAGTTTATTCATATGCTTCTGGCAGTTTTTAAATTAATTTGTTTTTTTATTTTTCAGGTCAGAAATTTCTTAGAGAGATGCAAAATATGGTCAAAGAATTCAAGAACTTACTTTTTTAAAGTTTTTTATTTTTTATTTTTTAATATATGTAATCACAGTTAATTTTTTTTTATTAATTTCTTTGTATATACTTTTAAACATTTAACTTTCATTTATGAAATATATGATATTATTTCATTCAATATATGGTTGTGATTCAAAATATAGTATATAGTGTGTATTACATTATTCAAATGCGCGTGCAAAAATAATATTGATTATTCTTTAAATATGTCAATTTTTTTTTATCACAGATTTTATTAGTTATTAATCACACTTAAAAGGTGTGATCTAAATGTTTTTAATCACACTTAAAAGGTGTGAACTAAAGTTTTTAATCACACTTAAAATGTGTGATCTAAATATTATTAATCACACTTAAAATGTGTGATGAAAGCATTTTTTAATGACACTTAAAAAGTGTGATTAAAAATGATCATTTTTAATCACACTCCTAAAGACCACACTTTAATAAAACTTAAAAAGTGTGATTAAAAAACATACATCACACCAAAAAAGTGTGATCTTTATCTATATTTATAGCTAGCAAATTGAGGACTACATAGATAAACTAAGATGCAATAAGTACCATGTTTGCTAATGTGTGTTGGACATTCTCACAACAGTGTTTCTTTTTCTTAGACACTTTCCAAACACATTGTAGGAGAAGAAGAATAAGAGTGGTTTTCTAGAAAGTCTAGAAGACTTACATGGGTTATTCTGTCAGAAAGATGACATAATATTATTTAAGGGTTGAGTTTTAAAAGCAGCCACTTTGTCCATATTATGACCAAGTTTAGGACTATTTCCAGTCTACCATCCGTCCAAACACTCTAAATTATTGGGAGCCGGCACTTTTAAAAGCCTAACATTCAATGTCATCACAAAACAGGAAGCTTTTCAAGTGCATCTATGCTCAAAGACAAGGTGTTAAATGCTCACAAATATCTTAACGAGAAAGTTCTCAAGTGAGAAAGGTAGAAGTAATTGGTGAAACTAAAATTTATATATGTCCAAACAAAATAATTAAATAGAGGTGAAAGGTTAATGAAGTATCAGAATCTATGCTTGTGAACAGGAAACACCATCAATAAGCAAACACTACAAGAAAAAGTGGATATCACCACGTTTTTTTTTCTGACGTTTTTGAAAAACGTCGTAAAATCTCCTATACTTTTTTCCATTTTGAACAAATTACTCATCTCGTTTTGTACGCCAATATTAAAAAAATTGTGAAATAACATTTACTTGTGATTGAAGAGGCAGGACTTCCTGATCAAAAGAGAGGCGTGACTTTAGAGAACACAGCGTTACTTTTGAGAGAGAGAGAGAGAGAGAGAGGCAAAGAGAAATCAAGGCCTTGGATCTTTGATCTCCATTGATTCTTTGGTTGTATGATCTGGAAATGCTTGTTCTGCACTTGATTTGAGCGTTTGTCTGTAATATCGTTTGAATCCCTCTTATCTAAGTCGATCTAGGGCTCAAGGTTAGAGTTTTTTGATATGGATTTGCTATATTCACATAAGGTCTGTAGACTTTCATGGCTTAAACTAACGATTTATAGTTGATTTCTAATTTCTTTTCTTCTGTTTTTCATTTTCTCTTTTCAAATCGATTTTTCTAGGGTTTTGAGTGCCGTGTTAATGTCTCTGATCACGTACAGAATAGCAAGTAGCGTTGGATCTGGATCGTTACCAACAGTGAGTCGAAGCAAGCTTAACGACGTAGAGATGTAGATCTTATTCTCAGATCTGCTCTCTATCCAATCAGATCTGCTATTATGGTAATATCAAATCTACTTTCTCAATCTCTCCGATGGAATTTCACATATTCTCTTCATTGCTCTATGAGATTTGGACCTCTGTCTCTCTGTTTTTGATTGAAGCTCATTATCTTTGTCACTATTACATTTTCCTTATAGAAAATGTCAAAACAGTATAGAAATAGAACGATTGGTGAGTGAGTTTGAAACTTCTTTATCTATTTGAACACTCTACTAGTTCATCACTTTTCAATTTTTACTTTAACTTGTTATGTTTTAATAATTTTCAATTAATTTTTAAAACGTAAAGAAATAGAACGATTACATTGAATTTATATTAAAATTTAAAATTTTAATTGTTATAATTAAAATTTAAAGGATCAAAATTTGACGGTGAAATTTGTAATTTACTCAGGAAAAAAAGAAATTGGACCAAAGTATAAAAAAAGAAGAAGAAGAGGTTTGCATTACATGTTTTTTTTTTTTTTTTTATATTTTTTATGATTGTGTGATTCTGATTCATCACACTTAAAAGGACTTGCAATTTCATTGGTTTTTATGTAAAATACTTGGTCATGACCATGGGTTATACATTCTTATTCATTTCGCTTTGCATGTGTTTGGGTTTTGGTCTAACTGAAGCAATTCCTGCAAATATTAGAAGACAAAGTACTATTGTAACGCCCTCAAAAATAAACCCATTATATATATTTTGGTCTAACTGAAGCAGTTCCTGCAAATATTAGAAGACAAAGTACTATTGAATAGTGATTACTATTGTGATTTGTATTTTAATACCTTGTACCTTGTTTTATTTCATTATTTTAACACATTTTCTATTTTTGGTACCACTTAACCTTGCAAGTGAGGTCTTCAAACTATGAAAATTCAGTTTGTGGCAGCTCACTCAACAAGGACACGTGACCTTGTAATTGCATGACATTTTTTAGAATTGTTTCTCTCTCTCTGTTTTTGACTTAGTGTTTATTTTCAAAAAGCAATGTTTTAACTTTTAGACCAATCCATACAGAGGCATTGTGGCAAGGGTTTGAGAAGTGTGCTTTTATATTGTTCAAGAAAAAAAAAAGGAAGAATAAGAAAGGAAAAATAAAAAAAGGTGTATTTTTGCCCATTCAATTGAACGATTTAGTCCCTGTTTGTTTGTATTGTTCTTAAGAAGGAAGGGGAAAGTGTATGGAGTGGCTGTAAATTGGAGAGAAGATTTCACAATTTTAGAAATTTTTTGCTTCTCCAACATTGGGAGGATAGGCATTGTTTGGTTGTGTTTTCATTTTTTGTATTCTATTTACCACTTGAGCATTTTTTGCTTCACCTCCCATTTTTGGCCACCACCTCTGACCACCCTCATCAGCAATCCCCCTTTGAACACTTCTGGCCGCCTGCCAGAAATCACGTCCAACGAGTCCTGAGAACCTCTAATGTTCCAAAGGGTTGGTAAACAAAAAATTCCCATCAGGCTGGACCTCTAGGTAGACTGCCTAATCAACCATCCATTGGTTTGATTAACTACTGTGGCTCACCTATTATTCAGGTGGACAGAGGAGGTACCCAATTCACTATTGTGGCTCACCTATTATTCAGATTTATAAAACTTGTAAAATTTACTTTTAAAAAATCTAATCCATCTATATATTTTGGAATTCTCAACTTATCTGTTGTTACAATAGCTGTACGTATTGTATTTGTACACAAATATTAGATTGTAAAATTGTTTTTCAAATGTGTGAGAAATTAAATTCTATTTAGAATACAAGGCTGATTGAGTTACCATTTTGTCCGCAATATGTTGTCATGATATACATGAAATGGGTTGTTTGGACATTTTTGAGTTCTTGTACTACTAACACATTTGATTTACATATTACATCAGCCAAGTAAAATTTGTTATGTGTATAAAATGTTTATTGTGCAACCTTACAGAACCATTCAACTCCGAGGCAGGAAAACGACACGGAGAACTGCCCATATTACATCTCAATCCTTATAGCTGGTCCAAGGTTGATAATTCTAAAATGTATGTTTATATTCTGAATGAATGTAAGAAACTTACTTTTAAAAACCGCTAATTAATTATGTTTATATTTAAAAATGTTTTGGTTTGGCACTTCCTGTCATGGTGATTATCTAGGTTATAAAAGATGATACTACTGATCTTCCTAGTGGATGAATTATCTTTTGAATGGAATTAATTGATAACAATGATGCCCCCTTGTGAACACATGGCGGAATGCTATGCCTATTACACAAGTTATCACTTGAAACTTTATGATTTGATGTCCTTTAATTGATTCTGCTGTTTGTCTTCTAAATTGATTTAATGCTTGACTAATGGGATGTGGTGTGGCACTTGTAGAAGTATCCCCACCAAGAATGCCATTGGTTGAAATACAGCTCCATAGGAAACTTCTGGAGGAGTTGTTGGGTAATATGAGTCATTCATCAGCCCAGGTAAGAAATACTTCTTTACATATTTTTGGTCAATTCTCAGATCATGTCACTATAGTTAATATACATTAAAGGATCAAATTGATGGTTCTCATCACACACATACTCATTTAGTGTATGCTAATGCTTGAAATGCTGTGTGGCCTTGCTACATTCAAGGAGGTTTCTTCTATAACAAATATATGATGCACATCGGCAAACATTGCATTATCAACATGAATGATCGAAACTGAATTTTTTTTCTTTCTTTATTTATTTAGACTAGAATTTCCTTGTTTTTATTATCAATTGACTTGAAGCTTCTTTGTTGACTCATTTATTTGGTATATTTTAATTTTTATTAGCAATGTCAAACATTATTTAGTTTTGTTATTTGAGTTAAAACCTTCTTAATCCTTTTCTTTTTTCCTTATATTTTTTTCCCTTCAGCTCATTTGATGCATGCTTATGGTTCTTTGAGTAACACAATTTTCTGCAAATTTCCAATCTTATGACATATTTCTAGATATTCTGTTACTAGTTCTCATTATGTACCTTTATTCTTGCAAAACTATCACTTTTTCTGATCTACTTTTTCTGATCTAACCTCGTAAGAAAACCAACAGAGCTAATTTTGAAAATAGAGAAACCTTTTAATGTTGCATACTTAATCACTACATCATATGAAGCTTGATTGTGGGGAATAACTTGCCAAAATATATTTAGTTTATGCTTTCTTTCCTGTCTCAATCATCTAAAAATATTCTTTCACCTTCTATTAAAAATAAAATTGTTTTCTCACAAATAGTTTATGGCAGTAGAGAATTGTATTTGCATGCTGGGATTTTTGATGTTGTGAATTCTCTGTTTTAAGATATGGATAGGGGAGAACTACAGTACGCTCTGGACATTGGATGTTTACTGGACACACCATTAGATGCGTCCCAATTAGGAAGTCTTCTATGCGTCCCAATTAGGAAGTCTTCTGAGTATGGAAGACATCATCAATTGAGGAAGAATCATCAAAACTTGTGTGAATAATGGTTTTAACATATAAAAGAACAACTAGAAGTAGATTTTAATTATCTGTTATTTGTTTGGCCTCAATTCTGGGTCAGATCAGAACCCATGCATATTTTTCATAAAGTGCTTAATAAGGAAAGGGTCCCCAACATTTTGTGGCAAATTGCCATCCCTGTATGTACACTACAAGAAAAGTAGCATATAACCACGCTTTTGTTATGGCGTTTTTTTAAAAAACGTCGTTTTAAAGATTTTCAAAATATTTTTGTAAATAACTCATTTTAAAAAACACGCGTGCTTTTGGTGTACGAACATGTTTTCCCTTTTAAGACCCACGCGTTTTTCATTCTTCTATTCTATTTCACGCAGCAATTGATAGATCTAGGTTTTCTATCTCTTCATCACTCCTCTTTCTTATGGTGAAAGGTCACTAGATCGAGCTTCGTAGGCTCCGATTCACGATCTGGTTCTCTCCATCTTGGCTCAAAGCTCTGAATCAGTCCGATTTGAAGATTAATTTTGTGAGTCCTCTGATTTTTCATTTTGTTTATATACAAACTTAGATCTACGATCTCAAATCTGTTTTATATATATATACTAATTTATGTCTATTGATCGCGATTGATTTTTATTCTATTGATCGATTTTTAGGCAAATCTCGATTGATTGATTTTTAATTTATTGATCGCGATCGAACACTCTTCTCTGGATTTGATCGATTGATTGCTTTCGTTCAGATCTGTAAGTTTGAGTCCCTATGCGCATATTAACATCCTCAAACCAACTCTATTTCTGACTCGTTCGTGGTGATCTTTGCGTTTGTGCTTTGTATGCAATTCTAGGGTTAGTCTATTGAGGCTAATCTCTATTGCGTTTGTGTATAGAGTCACAGAACCACCATCACAACCATACTGTGTCAATCTTTGTAGCAGCAATGTCTCTTTTCCTCACAATGGGTTTTGTGCACTGCAGACACCTGATTTCCACTCTGGTGAGTCTTCTTTGATTCCCTCCTTCCTTACCTTGCTTATGATCTGTCTGGCCCTGTCGTTTGTGCATTTGGTTTTTCTGCTACTTTCCATAAATTTTAATGTCTTCAAAAGCCATGTATCTGTGTGTTTGTTTATATGTGCATCAAAATTTTATTGGATTTTATCCGATGGACCCGCAGAGTACTTAGAGTGACCAAAATTTGAGTTTATGTTCTGCAGCTCCAATAACAAATAGGAGGAAAACCTTGGAAGAGGTAGAAAGATAGGCTAAAATTTGAGTTTATGATAGGCCAAAATTATTGACAAAATTATTGTTAAGATGATGGGTAGAAAGATTTACTTATCCTGTCTGCTGTAGTTATATAAATAGAATCAGACGATGGTTTGAGTTGGGACCAATTTAAAATTCAGCCTGTCTATTGGTTAATTTGGGTATTGACTTAAATTTGATTTTTTCCAAAAAGCGAAACAATTTGCCGTAAAAAATGGCTTATCGGAGACCGTTAAGATATACGGTAGCTATGATTAGTTGCTGGACGATCCACGGATTGATGCTGTGTACCTGCCTTTGCCAACTAGCCTTCATGTGCAGTGGGCAGTCTTGGCTGCTCAGAAGAGGAAGCATTTGCTGATGGAGAAACCGACGGCTCTTGATGTGGAGGAGCTTGATCAGATATTGGATGCCTGTGAATCCAACGGTTTGCAGTTCATGGATGGGACTATGTGGTATCATCACCCAAGAACTGCTAAAATGAAGGAATTGGCATCTGATCCTCTGCTTTTTGGACAACTCAAATGGGTAATTTTTGTTGTTTATTTTATTTATTATTTGCAGTGTATTGCAAAACAATCAATCACTGATTCACTGATCATATTCAAGATTTGAGAGTATTGTCCACCTGAATGCTACCCTTTTGTGAAAATAGCTTGCCTATCTTGAATAATGCCACTGGTCTTTGACCTGTTTAGTTTTTTTGGTTTTTAATAATTTCAAAATTAAATAACTATGGATAACTTTTTTTCTCAAATTACATTAAAGCATGTTCGGAAATCATATATTTTTTTATTACTAATATTTTTTTACTTGAATATACATTTGAAGAAAAAAAAAATGTAGTTTAGATGATGTTGTGTCAGGCTGATTAGCAATCGCATTTTAATGTAATTTAAGAAAAAAGTTTATCCATACCCCAGTTATTTAAATAAATAAATAAATAAATAGAAGGTCATTTAGGTTGGCTCTATCAATTCCATGATTACTATTCTTATTGATTTGAGAGCATTATATCAACATGTTGAGTTCGGGCTCTGGTAGTACTAAATAATTATTTATTGCGTACAAACTTTATTCATGATTTGCCCATTATTATAAAGGCCAGCTCCAAATTCATTTCCTTTATAATCAATTATGAGAAAGACCGACAGATATTCAAGGGGTTGACTTGGTGATCTGAGCCTCTACATCTAGTGCATCTCACTAGGAGCTTAGGACTTTGATTCTACCCACATACATATGTTTTTTTTCGTTCTATTAGTTTGAGTGTTTTTTTCCCAATTCTGGGAATTACTAACAGATAATAACTTAAAACTGTACCAACTAGTCTGCTTAATGAGAATTAAAAGGCATATTGATCACTTCATTGTAATTGAATAGTATCCACGTGTTAAAGAGTAAGAAGTGCATTAGAAATTGTTGGGGGTTTATTCAGCAAAATGGCAGCCATCTTACAAAATGGTTATTGTTACTATTGTTGTAAGATACTAAGATGCATGTTTCTCAAAAAATTTCCAAGAATGTGTTTACACCTATTTTTGCTGAATATCAAATGATTTTAACTTGAACAGAATGTTATCTAGATTAGTGATTAATCACACCATTGGTTGTAGAATTGGTCTGTATAAGAATTGCCAATTCATGTTCCACAGTGTTCTTTTCCCTAAATTTCACAGATATAACATGTATGAATTTATGATCAATGATTTGTTAACAAACACTTCTCCCCACAACAATTCCTTCTCACTTAAGGTTTATTAGGTTTCTCCGTAATTCTTCACAGACCAGAGTAATTTTTAGAAGTTTTATCAGCAAGTTCTAAGTTAACAATCAGTAATCACATTTTGATGGATCCTTTTGATATGCTACCTGTTGGCTCGTAGAGACCTACCATCCACTACACGGCTGCTCTATGTACAAAGCTAGAGAAGTCAGTAGTCTTTATTACCTATTAGTTACTCATTAGTGAACTTTCTTCCGAATTTTTATCACGTCCTTGCTCCTTATTGTTTTTATCTAACAATTAATTCATCCATATTAAACTGTGATAGAGGACATCACTTATATGTGTTCCTTGAAAATTCAGAATTCGGGTCATTATCTTCTAGCTAATGCTTTCATAGTTTAACCATGTTCTGCAAGTTAGTTAATTGATTTTGATAGGGACATGTGGGGCTACGTATCTTTAGGTTACTTCAAGCAGGTGAACTTTCTGATATATTTGTGAATATGTTGCTACTGGTTTTCCTCTGCCAGAGCATATGTTTTTTCAAGTTCAAATGTCAAGCAGATAACTAAGGCTGGTGAGATTGGGTCCTCGACTATGCCTCATAAAGTAAATCCCATTGATTTTGAAAATAGTGAGGGCAATCTTGGGAAAGCCAATGGAGGTCTATCCCATTTAAGCATAAAATTACCTATTTCTCGTTGGCAGGTAGAACTCTCTCTCTCTCTCTCTCTATCTCTGACTTCTTTGCAAAGATATATGAAAGCTCCATTTTGAGTAAACATTGATTGGTAGTTTTTAGGCACCAAAAGTGCAGAATGTAAGATTATATGTCGCTGGGCAATTATGATTTCCTTACCATATTTGCAGATCCAAGTCTGTATAAGCCAAGCCCAGTAAAAGGAAGGATTTTGCTAATTGTTAATAGTTTTGGTCATCTTATTTTAGTGGTGATAGAGTGAGACATGCTAGAAAGCATGCTAGTAAGTAAGTTTAGCTTTTATTTTAATAAATAAGAGCCTTTCATTATCATTTTCATTAAGATTCAGAACAAGTTTCCTCTTACTGTGTCTTCTCAGCAATCAACTAGAGCCTTAGAGGGTTAGCATATGGGTTAGCAACAGGATGAAAAAGAACATGATAATGTAGTAGATAACAGTTTGCTGTATTTTTTCTTTAGAAGTGCAGTATACATGAAAAGGGGATCTCATAATTCCTATGAAATGCCACAAAAAGATTACTTGTCATTTTTTCTTAAATCATATGTAAATTACTTGTCATTTTTCTCCCTTTTTTTCTGAATGTTATTTTGTCTGTCTAAGTCAATTTTCTCATATTGCAGCTACAGAACTTGTGACCAAATCTATTAAAGTGATGATGGAATCAGGTTGTGAATAGGTATGCTGTCAATATAAGAGTTTTATGCCTTAAATTATAAATTTTATTATGACAATTAGTCCTTCTTGCTTTCTCATCTCTTTGTGCCTAAAGCTGAAACCGAATACTGTTCTCCAGGACACTGTGAGAGAGAGAGCTGATCTATAACTTGCTAGATAATTATATACTAAATTTTCCTAGGTGGAAAACATACTCAATGCTATAACGAACTAGATAAATTATGTGGGTACAATTAGTTGAGAAATTAGTAGTAGTTTTAGATTTATGCAAACTATAGGGCAGTACCATAGTATCTGAATGGCTGCTTTAAGATGGCAACTTCTTTGAAAAACTTGTGTGTAAGACGAGTGCAATTGGTTAAATAGTTTTTGATTGGTTAAATAGTTTTCGCATGATGATCAATTTGAGAAGTTTTCAATCTTCAGCTTGTACTCCATTAAGATATTTGGTTTCAGTGCTTGAGCAGGAGCTTATCAAGGCTAAAGATGATACTAATGATACCATGAAAAAGTTGAGGGAAGTTGATAAAACATGTTCACAGTTGCAACAGAATTTGGAAAAGGTGTTCTATAACTACTTGAAAGATTTATGCTGCTTAACAGCTATCTTTTTTTTCCCAATAACAAATAATTCATGTACTTGACTACTAAGCTCATGTATCTATCATCTTGCTTGTCAAAAAGCTGCTTTGCATTCCTTTTTCTTCTTAAATATGTTTTTAAATTGTTATGCCTCCTTTTGATCTCTTCCTGATTTGAAAGAGATGTTTTGTGAATACAAGTTTGGAGGAAAAGCTCTGCAATTTAGAGGATGAGAATCATGTATTGCATCAAAAAGCATTGAGTTCTCCGAAGGGCATCCGTCCTGGTTTTGTCAAGCCATTTTTGGAGGTAAGATTTGATTCAGTCATTACTTTACATCCACATTCATATGCACATGCATATAGCATATGTAGTATGTTTGTGCAACCACGTATGTGCATTGGTGTCAGCGTGTCTATGTAAATTTTGCTCATTTTTAACCTTTTTTTTAGTGTTATGACCTATAGCAAACGGTTTACAATTTGATGCATGTTCAGCTATCCCTTCAATAAGAATATGAAATTTGTAGTGGAATTACATTCATCTCCGTTGCTATTGCTCTGTTTCTGTCATATTTTACTTGTTTCCCAATAAATGCTTCACTTATTTTTCTCTTTTGCTTTTTGATTGTTTTGTTATATATACTGCATTTCATTTTGAGAAACCATTGTCAATGGAGTTAGGTGGCTTGTTTGGACAAATTGGAATGGACAAACAATTCCTGTCTGAGGATGAGAATAGGCTCTCTCTGTGGTGCTTTCCCAAACCAACTTCCAAACAGAAATCTTTGGGAAAAGGAATTAATGGACCCCATCTGCCCACATGAAAACATGACTGTTTTGAGTATTTCCTAAGCATTGTAGCTGAGAAACTTGCTTGCCAAAACATTTAACCATTATTATGTTTATACAGAGCAAAATGTCCCTTCAACATTGCTTAGTAGAGGAGGCACCAACTTGAAACAGACAAGTCCTTTATTTGAATCTGCTGGTTTTGTCTCATTTTCCCTTTTTGTTTTTTTCCCCTCACTTTTCAACTAGGCAGTTGAGAGGCATTAATATTCTTCAGCCTACATAAAAATCACCATGAAGTTAAAATTTGGTGCCTTCTTTTGAGTTGCATTTTGATGAGCAAGTCTTGACTGCTTTGTTTTGTTAGTGAAAAAAAGGGTAGTAGGGGCATGTGATAACTCTTTCTGGTCGTGATTATAAGAGCTCTGACCCACTAAGAAGCTGGACGAAGGGATCTAGACGGCCCAACAAGGGGTACCCCATACAGTGGACCTTCATTGTTTTCTCTGTACAGGTTTGAATTATAGTGACCCTAGTCTCACCGAGGAGTTAAGACTCGTGAGACTTGGAGCCGAAATGGATGAAGTCACAAATCCATGTACCTGTCCCATATAGGGTTGCAACTTGGATGGATTTGATTGGGCTAAGAGTCACAAATTCATTTATTGTATGAATTCATAGGTAAAATGGAAAGAAAAAAAAAAAAGGTCAAATTCATGCGGTGGGTGTGATTATTCAATTTTGATACCAATCTTTTGAGTGAGTGAATACCCTTTGTATGGAAATAGCTCCAAAAGTTGTACTTGATTTAGGGCATATGTTCAAAATATTACACTGTCAAATTAACCTGTCAAAGTTAAAATTAACCTGTCAAATTAACTTTATTTATCAGATATACCATCTTGATGGAAACTTTTAGCTTCGGAGTTTTTTCTTCACATATTTTTAGTGTTTTATTTTATTTTATTTATTTTACCTTAACTTTGTAACACACATGCTGTTACAACTATTCGGAAAACATTGGCAGAAATTGATGAGCAAGCGGAGCTTCTACCTGATGGAACCCTTCTCGTGTACGTAGCTTTGTGGCTTAAAATATTTCATTTTTTTGTTTTTTTTTTTGTTTTGGGTTCTAAATTTGTTGGATTACAATGTGATGTTTTTATTTGTAAGTTATTACTTTCACCAGTTGAAAGCCTTTGCAAAACCCAATGTTCTTGAGAGGTAATAATATTTATTGTTTTTACTATTATTTAGTACTGCTCTTTATTCAGATAATTTGCAATTTTCACTAAGGTTTTTTTAAAGCAATTACAAGAGGATTGATTTATGATCGCCCACAAGAAGAGCCTGTTAAAAAAAAAAAGAGTACAACATTGAACTAATTAATAATAATAATAATAGAGCAGAGCACTATGGAAGAGACATTTGTGCCTTTTCGCGGGATCAAGAATGATCTTAAGGGCAGGTTGTTGTGTTACAAACAAGATTGGACTGGTGGCTTCAGAGCTAGCTTCAGGTATGTACTACAATCAAAGAAGAATAATCTTTATAAGCTTCTTTTTCTTTTTTTTTTTTCTTTTTTCTGTAACCCGTTTTCTTCTTTTTTGGTGAATTTTAATATAACTTGTTATGTTTTCAGGATTTTGCCTCCTACCACATATATATTCTTTGCATGTGCAATCCTAGTCATTTCATTTGGGGAACAACTAGATAGAAACACTGGTATGGGAATTAACTGTAAATAATTCTCAACCTAAATGAAATTTCTTTTATATTTTGGAATGGATGTTAAATGGCTTCAGGTATGTACTACAATCATGATATGTATCAAGCCTTTATTTGCTATATGATTTTACATTAAATGCTCCACCTTTACTGATTTTGGGAGTTGCAGAGCCCACTGTACTAATGATTTTGTCTTGGTAACTGCTCTTTCAGGTGCAAAGATGTTGTCGCAGTAGATATCAATATGGGTTGCCCAAAATCATTCGCTATTAGTGGGGGAATGGGCGCTGCATTATTGACTAAGCTGGCGCTTATTCATGATGTATGTGGTACATGGCATTCATGGAGTTCTATTTTTCTTTTTCCTTCTCTGTTCATTGTTTGAACTAAAAGCTTTAACCCTCATGTTGTTTCTCTATCAAGAGCATTGTAGAAACTTTTGGTTTCTTCATTAATATGCTTCATACTAGATATGCTTCTAGTATGCTTGATAGTATTAATTCAGATTGCACCACCGGGATGCAATCATTAATGGTGCATGCATGCATAAATAGCCTTAGACCCGTCCAAGAATCTTCGTTATGTATTATGGAGTTCTTGTCATGGGGTCTCTGGCGAGTTTGGTCCTGAGGACTTTGTTGAAGTATAGTGGTTGCTAAACTTTTATTGAACCATAAACTTGGCTGGCTTTCGTATAGATTTCTTCTCAATCATAGATAATTGTGCTGATATTTGTTCAATTCATAGGCATTTTCTACTGTGAGTGGATGCATATATAGACATGGTGGGTGTGTGATTAAGGGTGGTCTAAATAGGGATATTCTTTTTCCTAGCAAAGTGGGAAGTTATTGTTGCACAGACAAACATTTGCAAAGGCATTATCCTGAAAACCTCTGATTGTGTAAACTACCTTCAAGAACTAAAAGAAAATGACCAAATACCTTTATGTGAATCTCGGGATAAATTTTGAACTAAAATTTCACCTGGTTCAGAAACAAAGAGTTTCAATTTTAGGTGGTATGGCATGTCTTTGAGAATTTTTTTTTTAGAATGTGTTTGAATATAGTTGAAGTCAGATAGTACTTGCTGAGAAAGTAAACATGCATCCCATAGTTGCACAATGGTGCATGCATTTTATACATTTTAATTCTTTCAAAATTGTATATAACGGACATGATATTCACAGAAATATTGTAAAAGTATACTTCTATCTCTAGTATCTGATATTTAGATATGTTGTTTTCTTTTCCGTGCAGTACAAGTTTTTTGTTGATGGAGAATGGCGGCATGATGAGCACCAACCATTTGTAAGTGGAAATTATGGGGTGGTGAACAGTGTCTTCTTAGCTAGGGAGCCTGATGGCTAGATCTAGTATGGATGTGGATAATGATCCATTTTTTCATTTTTCGGAAGCAAATTATCTTACAAAAGCTTTTGTAATACAAGTTGGTCTAGTTGATAAGAACAAGGCTGGTGTTGATTTTTGCTGCCATAGGACTACTGATTTTTTGGTTGAGAATTGTGAATTTAATTTTTGAATATGTTATTTTGTGGGTAATTATGATTGGATATTAAATTGAATATGAAAGTGAAATAATGCTGCATTTATTATTTGAATAGGAGTTATTATTTCATATTAAGGTTATTCAATTTTATTATAGGTATTTTTTTAGTTTAATAACATAAAATTAGCACAATTTAAAAAAAAAAAAAAAAAAAAAAAAAGAGGATTTCACGGCGTTTTTAAAACGCCACCTAAACTCCAAAAAGTTAATGGTCAATTTTTTTAAAAAGATATGACGGCGTTTTGAAAACGTCGCTAAAATCATAGTGATGTCATGGTAGGGATACTTTTGCGGCGTTTCTAAAAACGCCGCCTATTCTAATATCGCGACGTTTTTAACACGTCGTAAAGATACAGCGACGGCCGCAGCTTCGACGTTTAGTACTAAACGTCGCAAAAGGAATTAGCGGCGTTTTCGAAAGATATAGCGGCATTTCTTAAACGCCACTAAAAATCTGTTTTCCAGCAGTGAAAATTCATGAAAACAGACTTCCGTGATTAAGTAAAAAATAAGATGCCTCATGAGATTACAGAGCATCTTCTAAATTTAAATCTCACTATCATGAATTTTCAGCGTCAAACATTCCCATTCTCCAACCACATTTTAGTCACCCTAAATTACTTTATATAACAAAGTTAATCAAGTAATTTGACTTTAACATATTTTTAAAATATTGGATTAACACAAGGAACTTTCACTGCTATAGCCCCTCAATTTAGATTTAAATATATAGAGCAAGCATTTCAAATTGGCTAATTTATGTAATTAGAAAAAATCAAGAAAGACAATTTCTAAGATGCCTTCCTTTCTCTCTCTTCACAGTCTTCTAGAAACTTCCCATGCCTTCAAACATGGTAAAAACTCATTGAACCTTCACTTTCATCTTCATGAATCAATCAGAGAGAGAGAGGCACAGAGAGACAGAGAGGGGGATTTAATATGGAGAAAACAATACATGAAACAAACAAGCACTAGTAATTTTAGTCACTTAGAACTTTGAGCCTGTGATGCCTCAAGAGTTGAAGATTGCAAGTGTTTCAAATTATGTAATTTTTATCACACTAACACTTTATTTTTAATGTAATTTATTTTTAAATAGTTTATATCACACTGACACTTTATTTTTAAATATTTTTTAGACTCTTTTGTTAAAAGATATTAACATATAAACAAAATGTTTATACAAAATGAGATAAAGAACTTTTTAATACAAAATTTTCTATACACTATTTTGATTTACAATTTCAAAAAACGTTGTCAACACATCATTATGAGTAATTTTTTGTATAAAAATTTTGTATGTTAATTTTATTTTTCAAACTCCTTAATAAAAAATAAAATTCTGTAGCAATCATTAGTGACTCGTTGTTTTATTTAGTGCCCACCTATCCTCTAGGCTCTATATATCTTCCCTAGCTTCCATACCCACTGTGTTTGTCTTCTTCTACTTCTTCTTCTTCTAACTCTCTCTCTCTCTCTCTCTCTCTCTCTCTCTCTCAGAGGGAGAAACATAGCAATGTCTACAGCAGTGAACCATCTCTTTGACCTTCAAGAACAGATTTGCTATGTACAATGTGGTTATTGTACCACCATTTTACTGGTAATATATGCACAGTATTAGCATTGGAAGCTATATAGAGCATTAACCATTGATGCCTCTCTTCATTAACACCTCTTTATGTTTTATGCATTCTATGATCTGTTTACTCTCATCGTTATCTTTTTTCTTTTTTCTTTTTTAGTTTGACATTATTTTTAAATCTAAATTGAGGAATATCCATACAACATTATTTCAAATTAGCAAGCATTATTTTTAGATCTTTAGAGAAAACAAGCACAATTAAAAATATCCATACAGCAGATATATGCACAAACTGCATGAGATTCCACAACATCACAACTAGTCGTCGGTAGCCTATAATAACTACACCCTGCTAGTACAACATAAAGAAGAAGAAGGGTATGTGCAATTCAAGTTTGTGCAATTCAAGTCAAAGTATTACAACAAGCTTGTATTGTGATGTTTTCAAGAAAACAACATAATAGTGTGGGAATGCCTATATATATACATATATGTATATAAGTATATATATCATTTATAAAAGAGTACCTGGATCTTCAAGAACTCTTCTTTACTCATATTTTGAACTGAAATAGAACACAACCAAAAGGGTACAATAATGGAAAGGCAAAAGCATAACCAAAAAATTCAACCTCGAAAATTTCAAATTAAAGTTTTTACCCAACATTGTTCTGCAAGCTGCCTGCTCCTTCGATATTCACTACTTTTGTAATACCCAAAAGCAAGAAGATAGAGCTTTTCCCTCATTTTGCAATGGGCTGCCATTATTGGCTAATGAGGCTGCCAAAGAAGAATTGTTTAGTTTCTGACAAGGGCTAAAATTTCATATACAAAATCACAAATAAACGCTCAGAATTTCAAAACAATACAAATACGGTGGGTCAACTGTATCTGTTTTGTGTAGCTTCCAACATCAATAAAAACTTAAAACACAAAGGTGCAGTGAAAAATAATAGAAAAGCAGCAATAGCATAAACAAAGCTAACCATGACTCCAAAGGGAATGATGGTGATTACTTCAAATACAAAAGTGGAATGATGGTGATTACTTCAGATACAAAAGTGGTAAACAACAAGAGGATGTTAAACGGAATGAGTGGAAAAATTAAACAAGATTGAAATCACAATTGTACGAGAACTATAAACTCCTTGCTGTAAAGAAAAATTATTTAGTACTGAATTTATTGGTTCGGGCCTTCAAGCATAGCTATCCCACACTGCACATCTTTTGGTTGTTTGGAATGAACAAGAGCC